GGAGTTATATATATGAGAGACGTAAAGCAGTGTAAATGTATATACCTGTGTTATGCGTATAATATATATATCACTATTTAGGTTAGATAATATTTATATATATATATATACTATACACTACTATAATATAATCATATATATATATATATATATATGTATGTATATATGGTATATATATATATATATATATATATATATACTATATATATATATAGTATATATATATATATATATTATGTATGTATATATGTGTGTGTATGATGGTGTGTGTGTGTGTGTGTGTGTGGTGTGTGTGTTGTGTGTGTGTGTGTGTGAGTTTCAAATATGTAGCATACCTTAATCAATTAATCAACCATTTATCATGACTACACACTTTAGATGGTCTTAATAAGGCACAGTAAAATAACTCTCAATTAATATTTGGTTTTCTCTCATTTCTTAAATAATTAGTCCCTTTAGAAACTAAAAGTTGTCTGTCCCTATATCATAGTTATATTCCAGTAATAATGATAATCATAATAATGACAATGATAATGATGATGTTGATGATGATAATGATAACAAACACAAAACAATGTTAAAACAAATAATGAAAATATAATACTAATAATAATAACAATAATAATAACAATATCAATAATAAAGATAAATAAACAATAAAAATAACAAAAACAATAACAATAATCAAAATAATAATAATGATAATGATAATGATAATGATATTGAATATAAGATTAACATCATAACATAACATTTAACATCAAAACATTGTAATATTATAATATTATAACATTATAACATAATAATATTATGATATTATAATGATAATGATAATAATGATAATGATGATGAATATTGATGATAATCAAAAATAGAAAATAATGATAATTATAATAATAAAAATTAATAATAAAAAAATTGAAAAAAAAATATAATAACAATAATAATAATATTATTATTATTATCATTATCAACAATAATTGTCGTCATCATCATATTCATAATTATCAGAATTAACATTGCATAATCTATATCATAATCATCTTTATACATATATATATATATATATATATATATATATATATATATATATATATATATATATATATATATATATACAACTTCTTTATTGTATCATTATCATCACTGTATGTCCATTATTAATTTTATATTTTTCACAGTTTCTTTAAACTTATTATTACAATAATCAATATGAGAACAAGATAGTACAATATATCATTCATAACTGTGCTATTAAGATAATCAAACTTATTTCCATTATCAAAGCCAACACTACATTCAATATCTGTAATACCCCTTTTGTCCCCTCCCCCCCAAAAAAAATAATACTTCTTATGAAAATTAATAAAACCTTATGTATCAGCATTTGCATAATTACTTCCTATAACAATTTAAGACTGTATATCTGCAAAAAAAATAAAATATATACATTTATATAAATTTTACACTTACATATAAGGAGACACATTCTTTCATATACATACCTTCACTTTAGACTTTCACATCCCAGCCATACTGCATCTAATTTCCCAATCCAAACAATGTGTGTAGCGTCCAGTAACAATGTCACAAAATGGTACTCAGTCTGGATGTATGTGAAACTGGTAGTATAATCCCTTGGCTTTAAAGACTTCATCAACATCACATCATTCTATTGCCAATATTTAGTATACAAAATAGTCTCTTTACATTATACCTTTACCTAGAAGTAAGTCATCCATTCAACCTCCTACTTTGGGATATCCTGTAGAAAAAAAGTACAAAGTTCAGAGCATAATTTCGTTTACCAAAATTTCTGTAATGGCCAATGAGAGCAGTAACAAATCAACAGACAGAGTTTTTACTCACCTCTTCATCCCATCCTTCAAGCTCTCCAGCAAGCTTGTAATGGTGTCTACGTAGTTCTGCTAGCTTTGTCCGCTCATTCTCCAGCTGCTTTTCTGTCTCCAGCATCTTTACTAGGGTCTCCATTTCCAAGCGCTTTGCTGAGTGCAAACTCAATTTGGAGAAATCTAGGGTTGCTGTAAAATCAAACATCCATGATCAGATCTTCATTTTCTCTTATATTCATAAAAAATTATTAAATTAAGTAAATGTGAAACAAAACAGATATGCTGCCATATTTTCCAAGTACTTCAAATATAAAGCTTCTCTTCTCCCTTTCCTTCCTTGTCCTTCCTGTTCCACCTTCATCCCTTCTTTCCAATTCCTCTACTACCTCTTTACTTTCATTATAATCAGACTTACAAGCAGTAGAAATCTTGTCTCTACAATTTTCAGCAGTTGCCACCACTGTTCCCGTCAAAGTCGAAATTTGCTTGGCAGTAGTACTAAGGTCTGCCATTTTCTTGCTAGACTTCTCAGCCTTCACCCTTGAAGCCATGACCAGCTGCATAGAAGAAGCAGCAATCTCACGTGATGCTACAATGACTTCCTCAAACTTTCCTTTTCCACTTACAACTTGATCAGCAGCACACCTGGAACAAATTTATTTTATATAAATATAAGTCAATCTACTCATCGTACAATACATTCATTAACCCATAAAGTACTTTTCCATCCTCCATTCACAAATCAATCCTTAAAATAGTCTTTCTTTATAGAAAAGACATTCATTACAATATGGTGACATATTATCAAACATCTATGAAGTATTCTATTCTTTAAATTATATGAATTATATTTTCTTTTTTGAATTGCCCAATTCTAATTTCCTGGTCAAAGATAAAAATATAACCAAATATAATTATATATACTGAATTACATTCTAAGTCACATGTATGACAAACTTCTGGCAGCACATACATAAGAGCCTGACATGCAATGGCAACAGCCTTAGCACCCGAGAGAAGGCCCTCCGTCCAGCGGTGGTTGCGTTTGTAGAACTCTCGGGGTGAGGCTCCCCCTTTCCCAGCAGCAACAATCTCTCTCTGTAAGTCTGACGCTCTTACAACTAACTGTCTTACTGCTGCCATGAGGTCACTGCAGGTTCCCAGGATGCTTTCATTGACCTGGATTTCAAGAATAACAATGTATGAATAACACTTACAATACAATATATGAAAGTGATATAAATATATGATCTTGTACAATACTGTGCACTCATATAATCAATTTTTGCTGAGAGTTAGTTCTCCCTACATTCTCAAGAATGTTTTATTCTTCTCTTACAATTTTCCTTTTATTTAAACAATAATACATTTAAAAACAACTGAGTTATTTAGGTTCCAAGCTACCATTAATATAAATATCAATCTCAACTACTAACTGTACAATGAAGTACCACACACATGGACATAGCATCATGCAAACATCTTAGTATACAACAGTACATGTCAGTGTGGTCAGTAAGCCTATCCTTAATTTCCTATTTTCACTGGAAACTTTAGAAACCTTGAAAAAAACTCAGTCAAATCAAAAATATTAGTCTGTCTGATTTAGCCCTTCATTTAGTTTTCACAGTGAAAGCCACTATACGAAACATCAACTCTAAAATTATTAATAAATATCATCACTCATCTAGTACCATCATAAAACTTCAGCTTTACAAAATATGGCTTGCTACAAAGAAATTTATAGTTTCTTTGGGTCTCCTCTCAGTTGTGTCATGTGCTGTAAAATCAGAGTCAATTCAATTTTCTAAAAAAAAAAAAAATGTATGTGCATATATATATATATATATATATATATATATATATATATATACATATATATATATATATATATATATATATAATATATATATATATATATATATATATATATATATATATATATATATATATATATATATATATATATATATATATATATATATATATATATATATATAATATATATATATAATATAATATATATATATATATATATATATATATATAATATATATAATATATATATATATATAATATATATAATATATATAATATATATATATAATATATATAATATATATAATATATATAATATATATAATATATATAATATATATAATATATATATATATATAATATATATATAAATATATATATATATATATAATTATATATATTCTGGCTAAAAAGACAACCAGAAAGGATAACTTTCATAATATTCTTTGAAATATTTATCATAGCATCGACCCCAGGGAGGTGAGTCCTGGCACTGTGCTAGGGTATGCAGAGATTATGGAAGGTCAGGTGGCATCCATTGAAGCATCTTCAACCCTCAGCCAGTAAAAGGACCTGCCTTCAGAATTCCCGGTACCTTTACTAGTTTTTGCCAGGCTAATTTTAAAGATCTGTCATCTAACCCGCTAACTATTGAACACTGTCAGCGGAAAAATAAGTATAGAATTGTAGGTGCCACAGGGTGAGTTCCTGGATGATGGAGACAGTCTATACAGCTGGTTCAACTTTGGTTATAGTAAAGATGAGTAATTTTTGTTCCCTGAGAAACCAGCCCAAAAGAGAAAGCAGCAGAAAGGTACTTGTGAGGTTGCCGCTTCCAGTGACGTTGCTAGTCCAGGAACCAGCCTGCGCACCGATTTTGATACCCCCCGGATTATGAGCTTCCAAATGGATTGTCAGTAGCGGGTTAAGGTTGGTATGTCTCACTTAACAGTTCCACATATTCTAGTCACCATCCACAGCAGCTAGAGTGTGGGTGGTCAACCCATACCCCAAGCCCAGGAAGGTGAGCCCTGCACTTTGCTAGGGTATGCAAAGTTTGTGGAACATTAGGTTGCATCCATCGAAGCACCTTCGACCCTCAGCCAACAAAAGGACCTGCCTTTAGAGGTCACCTTTACAAGTTTTGCCAGGCTAATTTCAAAGGCCTGTCATCTAACCCACTAACTATTGAACACTGTTAGCAGAAAAATAAGTATAGAATTGTGGGTGCCACAGGGTGAGTTTCTGGATGATGGAGTTGACAGTCTATACAGCTGGCTCAACTTTGGTTATGGCAAAGAGGAGTTATTTTTGTTCCCTGAGAAACCAGCCCAAGAGAGAAAGCAGAAGCAGGATACTAGTGAGGTTGCCACTTCTGAGCCTGTAAAGAATGCCGACTCATCATCGCCATACCAGCTACAGCATGACAACCTTACACCAGATCAAGTAATGCAGTTGGACAAGATGGTGACCAGCTTGCCAGACCTCTTCTCAGGAGACAATATGCCTTTGGGTGTAGTTCCTGGGGCACAGCCATGTATCCGCACCATCCTGTCTGTGTTCAGCAGTGGAGGCTTCCCAGGCAATAAAGAAAGTCATAAGGGCTGAGTGTGACCCCATGCTAGTGCAGGGGTGTGATAGCTCAGTCTACAAGCCCATGGTTGTTGCCAGTAGTTCTTGTATGGAAGAAGAATTGGTCACACCATTTCTGCATCGATTCCAGAGGCCTTAACTAGATGACCACCACAGATACGTACTCATATACCTTGCACTGATGAGATCCTGGACTCAGGTCAGATGTGGTACAGAGTTGTAGACAACTGGTCAGCATATTGGGCCATCTCTGTCCACCTACTAGATCAACCACAGACTGCATTCACCAATGGTAATTGTCTTTTTCACTTCCAGCACCTTTCCTTTGGCCTTTCCACTGGACTGACTACATTCCAGAGGATGATGGACCTTGTGTTAACCCAGTGCCGACGGGTAAAAAGTTTGGCAAGTGGACGTATGGACGGGGTTGTTGGCACGCATCGGCAGTCTCCCCTGTTTGCGCCCGGCTCGATCGTTAGTTTCCGAGCGACATTTAGCACCTAAAAGCTTTTATTTTGCTATGATTTATAAAAATATTAAAATTCTGAAGATTTACCTTCATTATAGGTGCCATTGCCTAAAATCTTTACCACATAAATGAAGCCGCTACCATCGGAGAAAAACAAACTCCTTCCAACAAGCCAGTGGCGCAGGGAATGGGCATGACACGATGCCACCCGTCTTTCGGTCCACAACCGCCATGGCATGTATGTACATGCCACCCGGCGGCAATGGGTTAATGCCAGTGTTGGGACTGCACACACTGGCTTAAGGTGCGGTTCAACTGGCCTTGTGTACACGCAGGTCTGGCAGTAAGCATGGCTATGGATCTACACTCACATCAATGCCCATCAGACTTTCATTAATAAATTTTAATTAGTATATCAGTTTCCGTTCTTCTTTCTTCATAAAGCCTGCACCATGAAAGTCCTTATGCTTCATGTTGCTCAAATGAGAAGTACTGTGCACAGCATTATTCAGGTGAGGGGCATGTGTGGTCTGTTACAGTAGCGCTTTTCACAGTTGAAATACTACACCTGGCTGGACACTCAGCCACAAGTCAGTTCCTAGACGAAGACAAGGCCAGTTTACCATGATGATGTGATCTTCACCTCCTCCTCTTTCACAGAACAACAACATTTGCAGGAGACATTGGGATGGGAGCTAGGATGAAATTAGATGTGGAAAATTTACTTTTGCCCAGAACTAAATGAATCTCCTTGGGTTTGTTACTTGGGAGGATGATGTGCACCACAATCTTGAAAAAGTAGCTGCCATAACTGCTATGAAAAGACCTCTGTAGTGCAGGATGTATGTAAGTTCCTAGGAGCCTGTGGTTTCATTAGACACCAGATCGAGAGGTTTTCATCCACCAAAAGGCCCCTGACAAGGCTTACTAAGAAAGGTATGAAGTTTCTATGGGTGATGTGGAACAGACTACATTTGATTCCTTGAAGGAAGCTCTCATAAAACTCTTTGTGCTCCATCTCCCAGTTTTTAGCAGACACATTTGAAGTGTCTACAGATGCCAGCATTGAGGCCTTGGGAGCTGCTCTTATTCAGAGTGATACCAACAGGGTATCCCATGCCACTGCATATTGGTCTACCTGCAGTTGTGTCCAGTTTTGAAGTGGATGGGGATGTAGTCAACTCCTGCAACATACTCACTACTCACCCTCTACTTCACACTCTGGGGCTATGTACACATACCAGAATTTGTGCAACACTGGTACTTTCTGGGAATACTTTGGATGAATCTGTGGCCAGATGCCAGGTTTGCCATTGGCCGAAGGGTACTGCTATATGAGTTCCAATGGAAAGACAACCACCACCTCAAGCCCTTTTTGTAAGAGTGTCAGCCAATTTGATGGATCTACAGGGCTTGACAAGAGGGTATCATTACAAGCTCTCCATAGTCAACCATCACACTTGCTTCCTTCAACTGGTTCCACTTCGAAATAAGAAGGTTCCTAACAGCCTTTGTAGACCATTACATCACCTTGTTTGGACCTCCAAACTACTTTCACATAGATAATGGTCTAGAATTCTCATCAGATGAGTGGCAGTCTCTCCTGAAGGGCCTGCAAGTGAAGCACTATCACTCTGTGGACTATCACCATAAGTCCAATGGGGTGATAGAGCACAGCAATAGGGCTGCCCTCATCAAGCATTTACCTTCACAGGGGCCACAGTTTACTTATAAGCAGTTCATCTTGCCCTGAACACCACCATATATCATTCCATAGGAGACCAGCCCCTCTACCTCCAGAAGGGGAGGATGGTGCTGTTTGCTATGGGGCTCACAAATCGGCAGACAAGTGATGAAGGCTTTATGCATATAGCAGATGCTCAACATCCAGCTGTAGAAGTGAGCACGAGGACAAGGGAGTTGAATAAAAGTATCATGTCCTGTCTGCCAAGACACCCTGCCACCTCTCAAGGAGTTAAAACTGCTTGTGGACCCTTTGGAGATTGCTGGTTGGGACCTTGCCAAGTCATTTGAGAGATGTGCTGGATTTCCAAGACCTTGCTGTTGTGTGTGGGTTCACAGGAACCAGCTCAAGGATGGAGACCAACTTGCTTCCCCAGGACTGGTAATCATGGTTGTGGCACTTCAAGATGCAACACAGTAAAAGTAGTGTGGTATTCACAGAATTAAACATTAGTGTTGTTGTTTTTTTAATGTTAGTTTTTTTGTTTTTTTTTCTTAAGTGTTAATGTTATGATTTTTTCTTAACCCATTTACGACGGGTGTCCTACATATGAGA